GAAGAGGCGATCATTTTGCTCTGTACTCCATCTTTTCATTCAGAAACCCAGAAAAATTTCAACATTCCGATAAGAAAACCCTAATCGTGATATCTTCTCCTCTAAAACGCAATGGTGTTGTGGCGTATACGTGCAAATATGGAGGAAATTGATGTTGGACGTCATTACTGTAAGTATTCTCTCACTCTCAATCTTCTATAACTTGGATTTTGTTGAAACCTTATCTGAAGTGGGCTATTTCACAGGGGGGCATCCGACAATCTTTTCCATTAGGTTATACCATGGTGGAGAGTTCACCAAATTTCCTGGAAGAAAGTACATCAAAGGAAAACAAACGTATATAGACTTACTCGACATGGATACTTTCTCAGTGCATGACATTGATGAAATGATGGAACAGTTAGGCTATGTTGATGAAGGTATACCTTTGTACTATCACTTTAAACGACCTTTTTTCAGATTTAGATTTCGGGTTATTTGCTTTGGGTAGTGATCAGGATGTGAGACATCTGGGTACCTTCATTTCCAAGCATAAGTTGATTGAAGTCTATATTGAGCATGGAAAAACCCAATTACATACGTACACAATGTCCCAAATCAAGCAAAAGTTCAAATAAAGGAAATTATTGAACCTCCATCATGTTCTCGTAGGCTTTTCTTAGATTGGTATGATACTGGGGAGACAAATGTTGTTGGGGATGCTTCTAAAGAGGCTAATGTAATGGACGTCACTGGAGATGACAATATGGACATAACTGATAATGGGGATAATAACAAGGAAGGAAATCCATGTGTTGAAGTTGAAATTGGGGACATATTTGAGCACACGAATGAAGTTGAATTTAGGGATGGTAACAAGGGTGGAGAAGATCCATGGTCTAAATTTGAAAGTGGGGACATGTTTGAGGACATAAACGAAGAAGAATTTGGAAGTGGGGACAACTTTGACGATGATAGTGGTTATAAATCCAGTGAGTCCGATGATATAGACTTTTATGTTGACAATGACAACATCTTAGATGATGTAGAAGTTGACATGAATGATTTCAATGATAACATTGATATGGATGCAGAGTGGGTTGGAGGTATGAATGACAATGTGGTACAAGAAGAGAATGAAGTTGGAGAGCTTAATGAAGTACTAAATAACGAGGTACTTTTTTCAGGATCATCTTCAGATGAAGGTCCAGTTGGTCAACGAAAGAAGACCATCAAAGCTATCCAACGAGCTCATGAGAATGATGAAGCAAATGTTGCTGAACCATTTTATATCCTTCAAACCTTTAATACAGCCCAAGAGTTTAAAGAAAGAGTTAAAGTCCATGCTATTGAGACAAGAAGGGAACTTGGTTTTGAAAAAAAATGACAAGAATAGGGTAAGATTTGTGTGTAGGGGGACAATACCAAAACTGGGAAACTTAGACAAAAGTGGGGAAGGTCAACAAGAAGTCAACAATGAAGATGAAGAGAAGTGCCCGTGGAGCCTCTACGCTAGTAAATGGAAACGTGATATAAACTGGATGGTCAAGTCTTACAACAAAGAACATCGTTGTCTCTAAACTCGGAATGTTAAAGAGTGTACTTATAAGTTTCTTGCCAAAAAGATTACAACTCAGGTGGAATCTAACCCAACTATTCCAATTCGTGCTTTACAAGAAAAACTGCAACGTGATTACCAAGTGGGACTTTCCAAGATGAAAGTGTTTAGGGCTAGAACTGAAGCTCTCAATCAGGTGCGAGGGGATTATGTTGGTCAGTATGCTCTATTGAGAGACTATGTTCAAGAACTTCAAAAACATAACCCAGACACGACTGTAAAGATTGATGTAGAGAGTCAACCAAATCCAAATTCAGAAACTAGAACTTTCAAGCACATATACATCTGTCTTGGTCCTTTTAAAAAAGGGATTTGCTGCTGGAAGAAGAGACTTTCTTGGTCTCGATGGTGCTTTTATGAAGGGTCCATACCCAGGACAAATACTTTCAGCTATGGTAACCTTTTTTCATATGAACTACATTTATATTATAAAAAGTTGTATTTTAGGTTATTGATGGTGCTTTAATTGTAAATTTTTTACTTATGTAGGGAATTGATGGTAATAATGGAACATATCCACTGGCTTATGCTGTTGTGGAATCTGAGAGTACCAACTCATGGACTTGGTTTCTAACTTGTCTAGGGATGATTTGGGTTTAGGAACAAACTCAAATTTTACGTTTATGACAGACAGACAAAAGGTATTAATTCGAATATCAAATTAATACATTATATATGATATACTTTTAATACAATTTTCCATTATATAAGGAGTGTTACCTGCTATAGCCAAGTTGTTTCCATGCGCTGAGCATCGTTATTGTCTTCGTCATATCCATGAAAACATGAAAGCTAATTGGAGGGCAAAGCAATTCAAAGACTTGCTATGGGATTGTGCAAAAGCATCTACTATTCAATAGTTTCAACGATCAATGGAGGAACTTAGAAAACTTAATAATGATGCGTATGAGTGGCTTAAAAACATTCCTCCTCAACATTGGTCTCGTTCACACTTTACAGGTAGATTTTAATTGTTGGGCTGAAGATTATTTTGAAGATTGCGTCTTTTGGGCTCGATAGCATAAGTTATTTTGTATTCCGGTTTGGGCCTGTCCAACCGAGAACCTTTTATGTTTTGTATATAAGTTTACGCTTGCATGCATATTAGGTTAATGTTTTTAGAGATCTACGAAATAGCGATTCATCTAGACGATAACAGGTTTCTTTAATCGTTCTTGTAACCTTCCAATCCTCTACAGTTGATGTTCCTAATAGAGCTCTTCTGAGGATTTTGTTTAATCATTCGACACGTTTGATTCATCTTGACTTGTTCTTATTATTGCGTTCATACTGTTTTATGTTTATATACTTGTTCAAGATCTAATCGATCTTTGTAGATTAAAGGTTAGTTTAATCTCATCAATTGGTATCAGAGCAGGAGGCTGTGTAATCAATACACATCTTTACTGTGAAAAAGATTTCCATTAGGGTTTTTCCGCAATTATCAATATTTATTGAGCCGTCATCTCTTTATTGACGTATCTTGATATTTATTGTTTTGCCCTAATCTGCTTTATTACAAGTCTGATCTTTGAACAGGTTTTTACGATTATAATGGACGCGACGCAATCAAACCTTATTAATATTTCCAACAGCATCGGTTCGACGACAAAGATTCCAATCTTATACACCCATGACTATGAAGTATGGGCGCATCACTTTGAAGACTACGTGATTGGATCGGAGGATAATGGGTACCTCATATGGGAAGCCATCATTAATGGACCGTTTTCTCATTCTGCATCGTCCAGAATCATCAAGACACAAAAGGAGTACAATGATCTGCTAAAGGACGTGAAGGATATTGCACAAGATGAAAAGGATAAATTCCAGTGCAATATTAAGGCGTTAAGGTTGATCAGATTCGCCCTTCAGTCCGACACATTCAGGTTGGTCAGCTCATGCACGACGGCAAAGGAAGTTTGGGATAGACTTCGTGAACTGTATTCTACAGACGAGGATCTTGAACATTCCATTCAAACTTTGCTTTTATCTGAGTTTGGAGAATTCAGGCAAGGAGCCGAAGAAACGGTGACCCAGACGTTTGATCGCTTCAATCATCTTCTCAGCAAGATGATCAAACACGATATTGAAAGGAAGCTTATCGAACAGAAGGTTACTTTCTTGAACGGACTGAGGTCTGAATGGAGAGCAGTAGTTTCCACAGTCAAAGCCCATGAGCAGTTTAAATCATACTCTTTGGCGAAACTGGTGGGTATTCTTAAGTCCCAAGAGAAGATTGTGGTGCAAGAAAAGAACGTCGTTTCTAGTCTTGGTTCGTTGGCCCTCCTATCTAAAAGTAAAGCTGTGATGGAGGATGAAGACCTCAACTTGGAGGAATATGATCTCACGTCTGAGGATTATGCCATGATGGTGTCCAATCCCAAGAGGTTCATAAAGAAGAGATTCCCCAGCAACAAAAACCGAAACTGGCAGGGGAGTTACAGCTCTGAAAAGGTGAACAATGAACCGAAGGCTGAGGAGCACAAGAAGGAACCGAAGGTGGATGGCGATTCCGGAGTAAGCTGTTTCTACTGTGGTGGGAAAAACCACTATGCTAAGGACTGTGTCCTTAAGAAGATGGCTGAAAAGGATGATGGAAATGATGAGGAAGCTGTGTTGCAGAAAAGATTGGACGAGTTGAGAAAGAAGAAGTCTACCGCTAACCCCTCTATTAATGCTCTCATTGTGCAGGGTTCGGTTAAAGATGACGAGTTCGGTAGCACGGAAGTTTGGTCTACCGACTCAGAAGACGATGAAGTGAGGAAGCCTACCCATGGAAAGGCTTATGTGGCTAAGGAGGAAAGCAGTGGAGGAAGATGCTTCATGGTGACTGACGTATCTCAAATGAGGGGATACAACACCGATGGAGGAAGCGATGGACCGAAGGTACAGGAGGACATGTGCTTTACGGCCAAACCACTTAGCCAGCAGTTCAATGAGCTCGATGAACTGATAAAGAAGGTACAATCTGTTTTTATTTCATCCAAAGTACCACCATCCTCATATGAGAAAGAACTAAAAAACGTTAATACAAGAATTTCTCATCTAGATAGTAGCTTAACTCAAACTCGAGTCACCAATTCTAACCTAACTGATCAATTAAGCAGGGTGGCGTCGAAGAGTGAGGAGCGGAGAATGTGGATCGAGTTAAAGGAGTCGGAATTAGTTAAAGTTAAAGACGAAAACATTTATTTGCAAAGAGACAATTTAAAATTGTTAAAACAGCGGAATGTTTTTTGTTTAATTGCTAAACGTTTGTATTCTAATATTACTCAGCTTCACTTGGATTGTGAAATAGGCCAAAAGATCCATCGCATGATTTTGCCCTTCCTAGAGTTTAAGGAGGATGAAATCGATGCCGAAGCCTACAATTGTGAGAGTGTGATATCGTCTGATGATGTCAATCCGACCTACATGTATGGACTGGACAAAATTGAGTCCTTCATTAAATCCAAGGACCACAAGGACATGCTTAAAAACCTTTTGGATGAAAATGACAGACTTAAACTGAGAACCGAAACCATGCAAAAATTTGACTCTTTAAACGCCAACGTAAGCTCAGAAAACAAAATTGATGTTGAAAATGCATCTGAGCTTAACGAGGACGAAAACATGAGTGAAATTTCTGTAGAGGACACGGTTGACTGCTCAGAATTTATTAAAAACGAACCTGAAAACCACAAGAATCTTATTTCTGAAAATTCAGTGGAGTTCGCTCGATTGTCCCATCAAAAGTCCCCGATATTAGTTGAGAAAGCAGTTGTGTATCAAAAGGTCAGGACCACTCCGAATCAAGTATACAAGGTGACAGGAGTTACCGAACATCAAACAGCTGAACTCACAGCTATTGTAAACGAAGACAATGCTGATGGCTGCGATGAGTACTTCTGGGAAGCTCCAATAGATAATGCAAACGAAACCATTGGTTTATCTGAAAGAACTTCCTGGAAGAGCAAAGGAAGATACATACCTGAACCCTTGAATAAGCCGGATAATTTCGATGAGCCAAGCACCAGTGGTACAAAAGATATTCCTCAGGAGGATGATCGTTCGGCAAAAGAACACGCTACCTCTACTCCCTCAGCTCAAAGTGGAACTTCTACAGACATTCCCTCTGCTCCTTCGGCTCAAAGTAAAACTCCTGCAGTTCAAAAGGAACCAGCCAAGGAGACACCGAAAACGAAAGCGAATGTTCATCATCAACCTAAACAGATGAGGAATAGGAAGAGAGAAAGGAACAATAGATACAGGAAGAACCTTTCTGAAAGGAAACAATTCTGGCATTCCCAGAATGCATATTTCTCACACCAAGACAAGAATCTAAAGTATGAAAACAATCCTGTAGGAAAGCCTGAAAGTCACAACAACCGAAGGCAAAGGTTCGGTTCTGAAGTCAAAAGAAAACAAGACTCTAAGGTCGGTCCCCCCAACGATCAAAAGCAAAAGGGTCACCTAGAGTCTCCAGCCAGGAAATCCTCTCAATCCAAACCCTCTCATTCTAATTCTTCTCGTTCTTCTAATTCTTCTACTTCCACCGATTCATCTCCATCTTGCTCTAAAGCTAATTCCGCTTGTTCTCAAAAATCTCATTCGTCAGTTGAACAAAAAGGAAAGCAGAAGGTCAATGAATCCAAACCAGAGTCCAAACCGAACACACCCAATCCTAACAAAATAAAAGTTTTTACCATTAAAAAGAAAGATGAAACAACTCTTATAAAACGAACATATCTAGTTGACATCTCTCTTACTGTTCCAGTTCCCATGAAAAGCTCACGTGGACCCAAGAAACTTTGGGTTCCTAAATCTGCCTAATTTTTGCAGGTTATAAGTGACGAGCAGTTCGACGAAGAATGGTACATCGATAGTGGCTGCTCACGTCACATGACAGGGAGGAAAGAGGAGCTTAGGGAATACAGATCTCTTGCAAATGGTGGCAACGTCAAGTTTGGAAATAATTCTTTCGGCACCATAAAGGGATACGGGATGATAACAAATGGGGACTTTACTATAAGGAAGGTGGCTTATGTGGAAGGACTCCAACACAACCTCATTAGTGTATCTCAGCTTGTTGGAGGTACAGGTCTCAAAGTCTCATTCGATGATGAAGGTTCTGAAATCATAGAGAAAAGGACAAAGAAAGTGATTCTCAAGTCAGAGCGAAAGGGTGAAATGTTTCCCTTAAACCTTAAACCCATCAAAGGAAACCCAGCTATATGCTTGTTATCAAAAGCTCAATCCGACGAAAGCTGGTTGTGGCACCGAAGACTCTCTCATCTCAATTTTAAAGATATCAACCGACTTGTCACTGGAGGTCATGTTAGGGGTCTTCCATTGCTCAAGTTCACAGAGATCATTTGTGTGCTGCATGCGAAATGGGGAAGCAAAGTCGTCAAAGTCACCCATCTATAATCAACACAAAAGTTGTTGAACCACTCGAATTATTCATATCGATTTGTGTGGTCCTTCATCTATCGAAAGCATCGGTGGTAGCAAGTATATTCTTGTTATTGTTGATGACTTTTCACGATTTACATGGGTATTCTTTCTAAAGCTCAAATCTGAAGCGACTCAAAAGCTGAAAGTGTTTATCAAGCAAA